TATTATTATTATTATTATTATGGGGATTGAAAGCAGTGATTTTCCGTCTCTGTCAGTCGCACGCGTGGCGATATATTTTAAACCACCCAATTTAGACCTGTTCCGTTTWCTGAACGACGCGTAGGTACGATTGATATACGTAATGCCATTATTCCGATTCATGAAAACAAATTTGAGTTGGTCGCTTCGGATCGACACGTCATGACTCGCACACATTTTCGACCTCTGTAAGCGGATTGGTAAAATTCGGAACGTTACGATATTATATTTGGTCATTTTTGGTCTGCACGAGGCGATCGGATTGAGTCGAAAACGTGAGTTAATCGACCTCAAGACGAGTAGGTTGACATCACGACAATAATAATAYAATTATATATTAACCAAACGCGTTTTCACAATCATTATCGGCTAATAGATCTGGTCGGTCGGTCACCGGCGTGTTGGAAATAGAACACGTCCTGACATAATAAATTCGTATAATATGGGTAGGCACCACACATGAAAGAAGTTAGATCATCCCAACCACATCTCAACGTACACGATACATCGTTTTATCGTTAGTATAGTCGCGACGTTTAAGTACACGGCGGCGGCGACTACCCCGCCCGTCGCTCCTCGCCGTAATCGCGCCGCCTTACCAGATCAGCGCACGCACGCACACAAGTAACGTAACGTACGGTCGCATACCACGGACCGCGCAGTCGAGCAGTGGCCAGTGATTACTCAGACCGCCGTCGCGCCTTGTACACGTCGTCACTCGTCACTCATCGTCACCAGCAGTACGGAGGTGCGCCTCATTTCCGCCTAGTCGTCACTTGCTCGCCACAGACGCTCGYCAATTGCGGTACTTACTACAACGGTCTTTACTTTGTCTCGACGTTAAGAGTACGATTAGCGAAAATCGTTATGCCGTTCGGGCTCTCGTCGTGAACCGTAAGCGCCGCGTCACCATTAACGTTGTTACCGAAGTAGCCAGTCGCTTTCGACCGCAGAAATCCGTGTTGGACATCCTCCACCCGCCCTCGCGTCGCCAGTTTGTGCCGGAAAATGTCTAAGGTCTCCAACTACGTCAAGGCGCTCAACGGAAGCGCAAACGTTGCTTCCGCAGACGACGAGCTCAAGGAACAATTTTCCAAGGTAACACTTACAAACCGACCTGTACCTACCTACCTACATATTATTATCTACCTACTTACTTACSGGTCCGATGACCGTAAATCGCATTTGATTTGATATTATTCGTGTTGTTCTTAACTGGCTTTTCTCTCAACGATAATCCAAGCAATTGATTTTCTCATTCGCTGTCATACTTCCAATGATTTTCGCGCGGGGRGTAGAGATTTTAAAATTTGTCATAGCCTTTTATAGGTATCACCCATCTCCAACAATAACAGCGTAATAATAATAATAATAATGTATTATTACTACTTGCTTTTGGTCTATGATTATTTTAATCGTTACGTATTAAAATTATTGATTATTACTACATAATTATAAATTTGTATAACATTATATTATTATCATTTCATAGGCTCAATACATTTTCTTTGGTGCCTTACTATCTAATACTATCAAAACTGAAAAGTAATAAATAATAATACGGTTTTATTTCACATTATAATATTATGCTCAGTAGTCGGTACACTGGAAGGTGTTATTAGTTAATAATACGCTGATAAGTATTTTTTGTATTTCTGATAAGGAATAAGAACATTTTATAAATCGATAACATTCTGATTAATATAATATTATATAAGTTACCAGTGTTTCTTAAAATTATTACTGTTGTAACCCCCAAATTGATATTGAATTTTTTAGGAACTCCTAAATACATATTACACACAATATTATATTATAATATAGCGTAATATTAGGTACTATCTATATGTATAGATTACCACTAAGTATAAAATATAATATGCAACCACAAACATTCATAATTATGTATTATGATGTCAGAGTTGATATGAATACATGGTGATAATTATTTTATAATCTAAAATGTCCAATTGTGATAAATTATCAAACTAGGTAATTGTAACTACATTATAATTGCATATAATTATAAATTAATCTTATTTAAAATTAGGTACATTACTTGGGATGGA